CTGCCCTTTAAATTTTAAGAAATTTCTCAATATTTAATGTAAGAAGCACTACAAAACACACGGCCATTTCTCTGTGTGCCAACAAAACATATCGTAGATGTATAGCACCAAAGGAAAAAGAGAAGAGTTACATACAACCAAATGTCCTTCTTTTCTGTTATCTCTATGGCTAAAACTAGGTATTTAAAAGTGTTTACTTGGCTTGATTTTTTTTTTCTTAGCACATCTTAAATTCAAGGTGTCTGTTTCAGACTTTTTCCCACAGCCTGTCAGCAAATGGAGGGTGAAACCTCTTCTTATTCATCTGTTTATCCCCAACTTCTGGAACAATGCCAATAAATATTTAGTGAGCAACTAAGTGATTGATCTCTATGAGCAAAATAATTCCCAGATAAAGAAATGTGTCATGTTGGGGAGGCACAGGGGAGGAAGCAATTCTCAATTAATTAAGTCACCAAAGTGTGTGAGAAAGAGCAATTTGAGTGCTGTGCATCTGCTTATCAAAAATGCTTACCAAATGTTTTTGTCAAATATGTTGGTAAAAGAAGAGCTTCTGATTTTAGTACTCTTATAAAGAAATAATTTCTTCAGTCTGTTCAAGGAAGCATGAGTCAGAATTCAGCTTTTCCTTTGAGGATGAAAAAAAAAATTATCATGGTGTTCTGTTGCTTCAAATAGGAAACTCTCTTGGCAATTTGTAGAAAATGTACTGTTCTGAGGTCAGCCTGACTTCCCAGGCCTATCAGTATCTATTTGCTGCTTTCATTTCTTGTCAAAAGCAAATTTTCCCTTCCAGGCAACTTTCCACTAAAAATAACATATTAGTTGATAAAACTCAGTTTGTCTCTTGGTCAGGTAATGGAAAACCCAGCCCAGAGTAAAGCAGTTATTTTTTATTATGATGAGTCAAACTTTAAGCCATGTTTTCCTGAGATACTCTACAACTCACCATATATATTTTAGCCACAGGGTAAGTGCTTTCCTCTTTCCATTTTCAATCAGTTGTGCCCTGGGAGAATTGGCAAGTATCTAGACTACAACAACAAACTGTGAAGAGAAATACAAGAGTTAAAGAAATATCATTTTTATGAAGGAATTTCAGTTTGTACCTTTGATAATTTGCTTAGATTAACCTAATTCTTTGAAATAACTTGTTGGGTAGTCATTAAATACCAATGGAACAATTTAATTGGATATTTTTGGATATCAAGCTAGAATAGGAAAGTTTGCCCAAGAAAAAGTTCTGGGATAATTGGTTTAAAACCAGAATGAATTCCCTTATGTCAAAAGACAGTAAAGGAAAAAAGGAATAAAGCATGCATTGTGCCCTCCATCTGCATTGAAAGGGAAAAACCTTAGAATCAGTAAAATTTTGTTTTATTTTTCAGATAAAATTATTTTAATAAAAATGATCTGCTAATCCTAATTTATTTTTTAAGCTCTTACCGTGCCTTCTACACTACTACAGAAATCAATTGCCCTAGCAGCTTTAATTCACGAAGAAAATCCTGTGTGGACAAGTCTTTGATTACTGACTCCTAAGTCTACAACTCTTAACGCATACACTGTGGTGCCTGTGGCACTCTCAAACTATGAGGTGACAATCAGAACCCCTTGTAAAATTGAAGATGTGCTCTCACAGTTTTTCATAAGAGTATAGCCTTTTGTTGTGTTGTTCCTGGTGTTGCCTGCTCCCAGGTTGTTTGACCTGGGCACTAGGGACAATCTGAGTGTCATCTCCTCAGCAGGCCTCCTCAGGACTGCTCCCTGAGTTATGGCAGATTGCCAGCATCCCATAAGGGGCAGTGGACTATTTTAGTCCCGGGGCATTCAGACTCATTTTGGAACAATATGCTACTATTTTGCTGCTTTGCATAAGACTCTTGGGAACTTCCTGTTATCCATCTTCATGAGTCTGTCTTTCCATTCTCAGACCCCTAAAAGATTTCACTGACTGTTCATAAATCAAACCAGGGTCCAACTAATGACAATCTCTGGTGAACATAACTCTCATGGTCTCCATGTGTGGTATACCAACTTCTCTCTATTCCTTGATGCGTCCTGCATCAATACCAATTCCTTTTTCACAACAAAATTAGGGACTCTGGTCCTGATGTAGCCTGGTCCCAAGCAATGGCCTTTGGTATAGAACTTATTCAAGGCCTTTAGAAAAATTTTTCCTCTTCAGTTCTCCATTCTATTATATCCACTGAAAATGTGCTTTAAGAAACAAACCAAAAAAAAAAAAAAAATCCCATTTGCATTTAGGTCTCTGGTGCCCCTGGGGTGAGCAAGACCTGAACTCAACCAGTGTTGATGCTTACCAGGATCTAAATCCCTGCAACTCTATCCCCCACCCTGTAGTCCTTCTTCCTGACAGGGGTCACGTTTGCAGTCTGGCACAGTAGCTTGCATAACAATAGATTCCAGTGGCCTAATTTCATCCTTGAGTTCCTGCAAAACTCATTCAGCTGCCCTCCACTCAGTGATTTATCTGGATTTATTGTGTCAATTTGGCAGAATAGTTCTGTTACAACCATTGTTGGATTTAATATGATTGGTCTTCCATTTCTAGGAAAAAGACAGGACTGGTGATCTCCCTCTGATTTTCCTCATTAAAAACTAAGGTTTAAGAATTCACTCGTGAGTTATTTGGAGAACTCTCTGTTCCAGCGTCTTCGGTACTCAATCCTCTCCCTTGAGCTAAACTGTTCTCTCTGAATCATTAAAAGGAAATTGTATTGCTCTTGAAATCTCACATGTAATGCTCCTGAAATTCTTAGCATTTTGAAGACTCCTTTTTGCTGTATTATTCCTAATCTTCTGTTCTTGGTGGATTTTCCCATTTTTGTTTGAACCATGGTCTCACTTAGAAGCTATTTCCTGAAGTTAAATGTTTGTCCTTGCAATTGAGAATCAGGGGACATAAAATAATTTTGAATAAGATGGCTTTTACAGAATTGTCACATTTTTATTACAGCTACGTGGTCTGAAATTACTGAACAACTTAATGAATGGACATTCAAAATTCTAGGGTTGTTGTTTATCATAATGATTAGTATCCGTTCATTAATATAAAAATTTTAATTAATTGCTAATTCTGTATGAAATAAAAATGTGGGCACTGGGAATTTAACTAGTTCATAAGAATCATCTCTTCCTCCAAGAATCTTGATATGATAGGCATGACATGATAGGTAAGACTAAAGGTGGAGTGATCCTCTCCCCATCCAAGAGAAAAGCTGGGTGAATGATGGTGCTGATCAACATCCTGAAGAGTGGATGGAAGGATCCTCGGTAGACCACAGTTAGAGGGCCAGGGGCCAGGAGTCATTGAACAGTGTCTGTGGTATGCCCTGTAACAACAGAAATCATGGCTGGCTTCGGAGACTGGAGGAAACAATGAGGTTTGCCATGAGAAAAAGTTACAACTTCATCGTGTAAAGAAAAGGACGCAACAAGAATTTTAAACAATTTTAAATAACATGGTTAAATTTGTAATATGGGTGTACAAGTTGAAAGATTGTTCTGGAGTTTATTACAGTGTTAAAGCAAGAACTAATGGAAGCAATGACCATGAAAATGGGCGGAAGGGAATGGACCCAATATATATATTTAAGAGGTGTATTTGAGTGCCTCAAACATTTGTTCAGGATGTTGGTGAATTCAGGAAGAGCAAGAAATCAAATGTGACTCCTGCTCCAGGATCAATTTTGGGGTATCAAGGTTCATAGTGGTTCTAACAACTAGAAGAAGGGTGTTAGAGAAAAAAGCAGTTAGTTTTTACGGAAGGTTTATTGTGAGAGGGCTCTGTAAAGATACCGAGTTCTAATTTGAACATACCTGATTTGGCAGGTGGTATACTAGTGGAAATTTCCAATAAATAACTACATAAATCTGGTACTCAGGCTTAAAAGTAGCTTTGCAGAGTTACTAGCATGGCATTCTATTAGTATCTGCATTCTGGCTAGCTGTATTTCAGGTACTGTGTTAAGAAAGACAGCAACAAAGATGGATAGCAAATGACACTTCTTAAGTCTAGGAAAAAAGACACAATCATTTAGTACATCTTATTCTTTAACTATATAACTTGTAATGATCTTGCTTTTATAAAGGATTTGTTCTATGTACTAAATCCTTGTTAATGTAGACTTTATTTACCTTTCAGCCACATTATTTTGAATAACTCTTGACAATTCTTAAGAGTAGCAACTATCAAAGCAATTAATTATTAATATGATATTATTTCTGATTCCAAGGATATAAAAATAAATAGTTCATTCCAGCTGGAAAAATAATTTATGTAAAACATTATACTTCTTACAGTATGTCCTCTATATCACATTTTATGAAGGACAAGTTGGTTGTACTTCCTGTATCAATGAAGACTTGGCAGTATTTGTGTCAATATAGATAGAAGTAGCAGCATTCAAACAAAGTGTTTACTCCTGCCCCTTTAAAATAGCAACTCCCTTTGAACAGCAAATATGTAACATAAGCACAGTTGACCTTTTGGTATGAAATGATAGTTGAAAAATTATGTGATGGAAAAAAATCTCAAGTTCAGGAACTGTGAGTGTGGGTGTATATATTTAGAAATATGTATGTATTTCCAAAGCTTGTTTAAATAAATGATAGAGATAGCAATCATCATACACAAAAGTATCTTGAGAAGCCTAACGTGAAAAGCATGTAGTGTTATTTAAATCCATCGTTAGCTAGTGTATATTTCTCTGGCTAGCAGCCCATGTTTTGAGCAAGTGACATATACAAAGAATAAACTAGAAAATTCTGATGTCTCTTGAAGAAAGGAAGCATTGAATAGACAGTTTTTCAGAAATGTGCTTTGAATTGTATTCACAACCTTTTCTAAAACGGATGTGTTCATAAAATGCACGCAGCCACATATTCTATGATTTATACAGACTAGAAAATGTCAGATCTCATCACTGGAAGTACTCCAAATGACATGATTTTTTTTTCCTATTATCACTAAACAGGGAAGGCCATGGTAAAATTTCAGTATTTGCTGTCAAAATGGCTTTAGCGACATTGTGTGGAGGGAAGATCATGGACAAATTAAGATGTAAGTTACTATTCCTTGCGCCTCTCCCTGCTTTTCTCTCTTATGTACCACTTTTCCTCTCCTTTATTCCTGCCATGTCCCCCTGACCATTTGTGTCTTTTATGAGAGTTGTTTGAAATGCAATCTTCTTTGAGCCTGGGATTTTGTCAAAGAAGTATTTTCATATTGAATAAATGTTGATGAAATGAACATTTTCCTTTACTTACAGATTATTATTATTTAGAATTTGCTGAGTATCATCAAATAGATTCTTTCTGATATTAAAGAAAAAATAAGTATTCTTTGTAGTTTGTTTTATTATACCACTATAGTAGTAGTTCATCAGTGTAAGGACATGAAGGTCAAATTGAGCATCTTTCCCCCTTAAATATTCTAAAAATCAAAGCTCCTGGTAAATTTCCTCATTTTTTTTAAGCCAGTGCTAATCAGATTACCAGGAACTGCACAACTAAAGGACATCAAGTGACTATAGGCTTCATGTACATGTTGTCACTAACTGGCACAGTTTTTTAACCAGTATCATAGTGGAATTTTTCTTATTTCTCTGTTTTAAGTAAAGAAGCTGAGACCCAAAGAGAGCATATCATATAGCTAAGATGGTACCAGTATTTTAATCCTGATGTTTCCAACCAATGGTTCTCAAATGTTCAGTATGCATTGGAATCACCTGGAGGGCTTTTTAGACCATGGACTTCTTTGAGTTCCACCTCCAGAAATTCTGATTTGGTATTCCTAAGGTGGGGCTGAGGAGCAAGAATTTTTATTTTTAACTAGTTTAAAATTATATTGATGCTGCTGTTAAAGGAAAGTTTTGTTTCACACTATCCCTTACCCTAAATACTGTAGAATTGGGGTCACAATGCTGTAAGAAAGGGTAGTGCCATGGAGTTGGGAGATCCAGGTGGCAAGCCCAGCTGTGACTTATTTGCTGAGTTTCCCTATGGAAGTTACTTCATGTCTTTAGTCCTCAGCTTCCTGCCACATTCTAAATATTGGGATCAGAGACTGGATGGTGGCTCCCAGCTGCAACCATCTGTGACTCACCGTCATGAGGCTCTTTCTCTCCTGCTACTTGTCAGCTTCTGAGTGTATCTCTTGCCTCTGGATGACCAAGAGGGAAAGAGTGAAGGAAGATACAAAAAAACACCCTTTCCTTCTTTGGAATTTCAACATAAACTCTCTAAGGAGGTTGTCTCAGTGGCCCAGGAGATAAGTGAAAGGGGCCTCCAAGCCCCAAGTAACCACCTGGCTTCCTTCACTTCCAGAAACTTCCTTTCATTGAGCAACCAAATGCAGCCACAATCCAGAGAAGCCCAACCAGACCTTATGAGGGTCAGTTTAGTTTTTCTTTGGTTATTCTAAAAGACATAGAAAAACGAAAACTACCTACCTCCATGCTTGATTGAGAGAGAATAGCTCAATTAGAATGTGCTGCAACCAATGCCTTTTTTAAAAAGTGGCTTCAGGGTAATCCAGGAGGTATTTCCTCAGGCTGGGAAGAGGAAGTTTAGCAAAATGAACCAAAGCAGAGGAAGAAAGCCCTGGGGGCCTTGCCTATTCACTTTGTGTCACAATTGGCCATTTATACTGAGGAATCTTGAGAAATATTTTCAAATAATTATTCAATGTCATGGTAATAGGTACCTGAATAAAAGGGTCCCCTATTAAAATAAGTGTGAGGAAAGTTGATAAACCAGTTTCCTGAACTTTAGAACCTCTCCAAGCCCAGGTTAATCTTGTGCCCTAGGTGCTTCCAATCTTCCCACTCAGAATCCCTCTTCCTTAGATTTCACCCCTCTCCTGCAGGAAAGGGGAGCCTAGAGTCTCACCACACTCTACCCAGTCTTTATGTCTCATTGCCCACGGCAGCATCTCAGACCAATTCCTAAACCAGTTGCTATAAGAGGAACGGCCTGACCAGGACAGTCATAATCAATCCACTTTCACTTGCTGGGCCAGGAAATGCTACTCCTTTCTCTTAGCCCAGGAACAAATTTGGTGCCAATAAAGATGAAGGGAATGGTTGTTAGGCAAGCAGCTTACAGTGTCAGCACAGTTGTGAAGCACAAGCTGGTTTTGAGCAGATCTGTAATAATTCCCAGAAGCCCTGTGGTTCTCTTGCAAACCCAGACGTTAGTGTAACTGCTCTAGTGCTTTCTCCACATCCCATCCCATCACTCTCCAGAAAGAAAAGCAGGTATGCTACCTAGGGGCTCAAGTTAGTCCTCCTGAGGACAGCAAAGGAAGCAGAGGCGTGAGTCCCACTGGAGACAGACTAAGCTCTGCAGTTTGGAAACAAGTCCCACCATGTCACAAACTATGTAGAAAAACAGATAGTATGACCACCATTTATCATGCTCCCCTCTTTGAGATCAGTAGGCCAAAATCAGTCTCATGTATCCCCTCTTCAAATAGGTAATCCCAGGAAGACAGTTTGGGTGGGTTCCAGTTAACTTGTTTGAAAGCAATTTGACCAAAAACAATTTAAGTAGAAGCAGTTTGGTTGGAAGAATCTCTCCAAAACGTTAGTCAAAAAAGAAAATCCTCAGTCACCCATATTTCCAGGTTAAATGATGATAATTGATTGAAAGAGCAAATGTGGGCAAATCCACCCACAAACAGCCATGGCTGCTTCTTGGTAAGTGGGATGATGGGTATTTTCTGTAGTCTCTGGCTGGCTTTCATTTCAACAACAAAGCACACAAGGTCATGATTTTCTGCATGACTTTTGTAATAAGAAAAAAAGTAAAATGAAAGGATATGGAATGTTTCAGGCTTTGAAGGTTTTGTTTTCCTTTTTTGTAAATTTTTCTAATTCACTTTAAGCCAACGGGCCAGCTGTGCTTGTTTGGCGATTTTTCTATTTCTGTGCGTAGGGATGAAGGATATTTAGTTTGTTCCAACTAGCCCCTTTTGTTGGAGAGCATAGAGCCAGAATAATTGGCTGAAAATAAATTAGGAATTAAAAGAGAGAGAGAGAGAGAGAGAGAGAGAGAGAGAGAGAGAGAAAACCAGAAAAATTAAGGCTGATTTTTAAAAATGTCCTTAAATGCATTAAAAAGGACAACAACTCTATGTTATGTCATGATTTCTAATATGCAGAGCCATCAACTGAGATTCAGGGTATTCAATGTGTAATCCAGGGGATATCATTGACCCAGTAGAGGAAAAAAAAGGGCGCCCCCTGCAGCTGTGTGACATGGCACCCTAAACATCAACTGACCTAATATATTCCTTTTCTGTTAAATTGTTCCACAACTGATTGTAATATACTGTTTTAATGGGTTCTTCTGCTTCAGAGTTCCTGGACAGTCAGTCCTAAGGATCTTAAGGAGTTCTAAATCCACTGCTGTAAGCCTGGGATGTCATGTGCTCATCTATTGCTACTGAGGAGTACTTGCTTTCTTTAGTTGAAAGACTAGCATCACGGCAAACACTTTGTATTTACTGAGTGTCACTGAACTGATTGATCTGCCTCCACAGATACATTCAAGGCAGTGTTTCTAACTCATTGGCTGCTTGAACTACAGTATCTCCCTCAGCATCCTCTGGACATAATAGAGCTTTCAAAGCTCTTCATGTAATGCCATACATCCCACCGCACCCTTGTGTGCACCCCCAGCCCTGCCACAGGGCCTCCTTGAAGATCCATGCTTGCTGTCCTCTTTGTGCCTACACTGCAGTCCTGATCCTGTTTCCTAAAGCCCACTCCCTCATCTGTGCCAGACTAGCCCCTAACTAGCCTTTATACTAGTCCCAGACCTACTCCTTTCTCTGGGAACCTTCTCGTCCGGCTCCTGTTCTATCCATTCATGCTACTTTTCCAGTATTCACAACATGAGGTTATAATCTAGGATGTTCTAAGATGCATCCTGAAAGCACTTCTCGGTCACCCTCTATACACGGGGAAAGAACTCTCCCAGGGGGAAAGAACTCTATTCTGAACTTATTGTATATTCACTGCTTAGCACAGTTTCACATGCTTAGTATGTGCTAAGTTGATTATAGTTGAATGAGTCAGTCAGTGACTGCAAATTCTTTTAAGTATCTATCCTTGTTAAGTGCTACAGGAAATACAAAGGTAGTTTAGAATGTGAATATCCTAGTGGGGAGGCAAAGCCTAAACATATGAAGTCAATGGAAAAATGATGTCATATGAAATTAATAATAAAAATGGATAAAATACATGTGGAAAGCATCATTTTGAGTGCTTTATTTACATTTACTAATTTACTCCTTGAAATAATCCTGTCATCTACATACACATATACATTGTGGACATTTTACCAAAGCCAAAAACTAAAGTATAAATGCATATCATTTTGGTATCATTCTTAGAGTCCCCTCAATTCTTTATTAAAACCTGAGTGGCCATTAATAGCCACTTCCAATTAATCCCATTGGCATAACACTAGTTTATCTATTGCTTGCAGACACAAACGAGGTTAATTAGTTTTCAAGTATGTGGAAGGTCATCATTGTTACTCCTGCTTTTGCTTTAGTTAGAGATGTTTCCCAAATTTTTTCAGCAGGTGACTTGAAAAGCCTAGTGTTCCCTGGAAAATCAGAGCCTGGAAGAACATGAGTATGACCCTGTTATAACCAACCACCCTGCCTCCAAACAAGATGGCAGCTCTCATGAGAAAGCCAATTTACTTTTCCTGGGATTATTTCCTCCCTTTTGACCAGAATTCTCCAACTTCTATATTTGGAATTACACAACAGTTTTTGCAACTAGCAACTCCCTTTCTTGTTTGTTTTTTGACTAATTTAATGGACTGTGAGATGAAATTCACTATGTAAGCAAAGTTATGTGGTAAATGAGAACGGCATTGTTTTTTGTTCAGATAGAATTTCTTTTTTAAAAAATTGAAAAATAAAACTGTATATTTTGATAATGTACATCGTGTTTTGATGTTTAAATACATTATCAAGTGGTTACATATAACCAGTTAACATATGCATAATTTCACATAGTTATTTTTGTGGTGAGAAAACTTAATGTCTATTCTCTGCATTTTTCAAAACTACCATATATTGTCTTTAACTGTAGTCACCATGCTGCCCAATAATCTCTTGAGTTTATTTCTCTTATCTAACTGTAACCATGTTTCCTTTGACCAGCATCTCCCTATCTTCCCATCCCCTCTAACTCTCCAAACCTCTGGTAACCATAGTTCTACTCTCTACTTTCATGAGGTCAACTTGTTTAGACTCCACACACAATGAATAAGACCATGCCTGGCTTATTTCACCCAATGTCTTCCAAATTCCTTCATGTTCTTGCAAAATGTCAGAATTTCCTTTATTTTGTGGCTGAATAGTATTCCTCTGAATATATATCACATTTTCTGTAACCATTCATCTTTTGATGGGTACTTGAGTTGGTTCCATATCTTAACTATTTTTAATAGAGCTGCAATAAACCCAGGAGTGCAGATATCACGTCAGTATGACTTCATTCCCTTCAGATATATATGCAGTAGTGGGATTACTGGATCACATGGTAGTTCTTCTTTTAACTTTTCACATTACCTCTATACTGCTTTCCATAATAGCCATACTAATTTCTATTCCAACCCACAGTGTATAAGGGTTCCCTTTTCTCCAAATTATCTTCAATGCATGGGTTTTTTTTGTTGTTATTTGTTTGTTTGTTATTTTGGTACTGGGGATTGAACCCAGGAGCACTTAACCACTGAGCCACATCTTCAGCCCTTTTAATTTTTTTTTTTTTTAATGTTGTGACAGGGCCTTGCTAAGTTGCTTAGGGCCTCACTAAATTGTAATCCTCCTGTCTCAGCCTCCCAAATTACTGAGATTACAGGCATGCCTGGCTTTTTTGGATTTTTGGTAATAGCCATTCTAACTAGAGTGAGGTGTAATTGTGATTTTGTTTTGCATTTCCATGATAATTAGTGTTATTGAACACTTTTTATATAACTGTTGTACCTGATATGTCTTCTTTGGGGAAATATCTACTTGTTTTTGTTTTTGTTTTGCCTATTTTCTAATCCGGCTATTTGTTTTCTCACTATTGTGTTGTTGACTTTCTCATTTTGGATATTAACCCCAGATAGAATTTCTATAGTCTCATAATTAATAGACTATTTGAAATATAGTAGATATAATTTATAGCTGGAATGTTTAAAGAAAATGAGAGTCAATTCACATGCTTAAAACATAATTCAGTAAAACTCCATAATATGCTTAATACCTGATTGCAGTATAAAAGCAATGTCCTCAGATTACATTTGGACCTGGAAAAATTAAACCCAAACTGAACAGAAGTTAACACACTGGACTTAGGGCAATTTATCCCAGCAGCTGTGCTAGACTAGTGACAATTATGTTAACATGATGATGAACTAATAGCAAATCCTTGTGCCCTATTGTTTTCTAAAGAGGAATTCTAAAGCACCTTGGGAAATTATGCCATTAATATTCATTAAGTGGACCCCGTGGTAGAAGCTGAAGATCAGAATTTCAGTGAAGCCAGAGGCACTTTGGAGAATAATCCAAGACCCTGACTTTCACCTCATTGATCATCTGCAAGGCTTTCTGCTCACTACATGAGCCAAAAGACCCTTCTGTGTAAATCAAAACGCCTTCCACCCAGAACCCTATGATTTATAGGACGTTTTCTGCTTTTGTGGGAAATTAATCAAGTGTCTTTATTATATCTTTATCCCTATTGCATCTTTCATTTTTCAGATATCTTAGACCAAAACCCAAAAGTTTTGGTGATAACATAGATGAAGAAATTGCTAACGAGATAAATACATAGATACACACCTACACTCTAACTGTGTAGTAAAATTCTCATTGTGCACTTCAAATGAAGTCAGCCCATTCTTATACATACAAAAATTACCCCATCAGGTCATACATGAATCAGTGACTGACTTCAAAACAAAATGTGATGGTCTCTGTCTTATTAAAATACATTAATTTTACACAAATAACCAGTTAATGTTATGTCTCAGAATCATCTATGAAAAGACACCAGAGAAAACACCATGCCAGGAATATTTCTGCATAAAAATCAGCTTTGTACTATTCTTTCATAAAGATAATGTATATTCTGCCACAGTTTAGTTATTTGCATCAGATATGTTGACCAGATCAGTAGAGAATATTCATGTGATGAATAAATATCTCCATCCTTTCCCTTCCATCAGATATTTTCTCAATGATTTCTGACTCCAGTGGAGTGATGGTTTATGGACGGTACGACCAATTCCTCCGGGAAGTTCTCAAACTACCCACAGCAGTTTTTGAAGGCCCTTCATTTGGTTACACAGAACAATCAGCTAGATCCTGTTTCTCCCAACAGGTAACATTTTTAAGGAAATGTTTCTCAAATAGCTGTTATTCTCCTTCTGTGTGTGGTTCCCAGTCACAGGTGCAAGGACTATCTTTCTTCATGACAATAGCCGAGGATGTTTCTTCCAGCATCTGACAAATGACCTCTGAGCCAGTAACAAACCTACCACACCTGGACTGTAACAAAAGCTGGTGTTCACTGATTGTGAGATAGGTGCCATGCTAAGTTCTTTACTTCCTTATCTAATTTAATCCTTACAACAATCCTAGACTCTCAGTATCATCGTTATTACCACTATACTTTTGAAATGGCTAAACTGTCATTCAGCCCCACATGAGACACATCTGACCCAGCACCAGACTTTCCTAATGTTCAGCAAAGGAGAGTAGAAAGGTGTTGCCTCACATCTTGCAATGTGACCACAGCAGCCCAAAGTGTGACAGACAGCTGCCTAAGTCTTCCATAATATGACACACTTAGGGTTCCAAATGATGTGCTTTAACCGAACATGGCACAAAGGAAGCTGCTTAGGTTTGAGATCCTTCCATACTTACACCTCTCTGATCATAGGGAAAGACTACACGCAGCACAGTGACGGTGTATAAATCCATAAATTGAAGGTTTGCTTATAATCTTTTAAAAATCCAGACTAATTAGTTATTCCCTCCAAATTTATTACATGCTAAAAAGAATTATATGTGATGTTTCCATGCTCCAAAATATACATAAAATCATTGCATAGCAGCCTCTGGAAAAATTCATTGACTGTCCAGCTAGCAAGTATCATCATTCTGTGTACCTGGTGACCTGAGAGGTCAAAGCTGCAAAGGCATTCCTAAGAATCATGAATTTGGGTGGACTCATAAACGCATCCATAATGGTAGCAAAGAAGACATGGTTCACTGCACTAAATGCTAACTCTGCTCCTGTGTCACCCCACTTGGAAGTCCTTTTTGGCCCTCCCCATACTCCTGTGCCCCATACCCAGGCAGACTTATGTGCTCCTATGAATTCATTTCTGCTTCCCTCTGCCCCCAAAGACTGAATGTCCTTCTTTCAATAATTTCCCATTGGAGTTCTTTTCCTCCCCTCCAACTATATTTTGGTACCCATAATCCAGCCTCCCTCTAGCCTCCCGTCTTCCTACCCTTCCCAGACTCCAGTAGTCACTATCACACTCTTTTCTTCTCTAAGATCAACTTTTTAGCTTCCACATGAGTGAAAACATTCAATGTTTGTCTTTCTGGGCCTGGATTTATTATTATTATTATTATTATTATTATTATTATTATTATTATTAAAAGGAACTGTACACTCAAAGAGAATTATATGATATCCCTATGCTAAAAATTACTTTTTAAATATCCTATAGGTTGTCCCATTTTGAGATCATTTATGTATTCTTAGTGATGAAAATTGATACATGTCAAAATAATAACAGTTTCGGAAACTTCTAGGAGTAATTTTTAGCCAATTTGGTGAATGATTAAAATTAATAAGATCCTTTGAAGTACAAAATGAGGTAACCCAAATTAAAAATAAAAAGATCAGCTTATTTTTGTCTTAATATTTTTATAACAGTTTAAAGGATGAAAGTCCCAAAATGTTGGAAATGCTTCATTTAAAATGTCCATGCTGGGCTGGGGCTGGGGCTCAGTGGTAGAGCACTTGCCTAGCACGTGTGAGGCCCTGGGTTCAATCCTCAGCACCACATAAAAATAAATAAATAGAATAAAGATATTGTGGAAAAAAAAATTTTAAGTCCACACCCACTGATAGTCTTGAAAGAGAATATTCCTTTTAGACATATAAATTCTAGTAGCTTTTAAAAAATACTTTACACAATATATATTTTAATAGTAATACTGATAGCAACCCTATTGAAAGCTTACGCTATTTAATATTATGAGGAAAAACTAAATTATAAATTTCCACTGATAATAAAAAAAATTAATGGGTTCCAAAACATTTGTTTAGTGAACTACAAGGACTAGTATAAGCTGCATGTCTTAAAACGACATTATATCTCTTTGGGGACTGACTTATTACTTTAAAATATCAAAGTTTGAAAGAAGTGTATAGATATGATACATTCCTTTTCTGCAGCAGAAAAGACCTGGACGAGGAGACAGAGGAGACTGAATTGGAAGGAAAGCTATAGACAGAGAAGAAATGAGAAGTTTTTAAAATTTAGAACATTACTCCTCACAGAATCCCCTCCTGATCTTACATAACAGAGCCATTCACCATAACCACTAAATATTGAGTACTTAAGCAAGTTGAGGGAGCTGGGAGGGAAGCCATTTGCAAATTTAGAAGACTGATGTGGGAATCAGAGTGTGCTATGATGCTCTATTGAATATAATTCTGTGGAGAATTTCAATTCTTTGTCTTTCCTTGTCATATATGAAATTGAGGTTTTTCTCTCGATGATGTTGGTGATAAAAGTCTTTTATCACCAGCATCATCCAGTGGTGGAGTTAATCCAGTTTCGTGTATGTTCAGGTGCATGAAGCAATCGATGTCTTCATTTCTGAACTAGTTCAATAACACATTTGGCAAGTGCTATTTCTTCATAAATCAGAGCCTCATTGATGGATTATGTCTTTATTTCCAATGATATTTACATAGCAGGTAAGTTAAAATTATTCTCTGTCCTAAATTTTTGTGATTTTTTTTAATGCAGAAAAAAGTCACGTTAAATGGTTTCTTGGACACGCTCATGTCAGATCCTCCCCCTCAGTGTCTGGTCTGGTTGCCTCTCCTGCATCGACTGGCAAATGTAGAAAATGGTGAGCAGTTACTGCTGAGCAAAGGCAGTTTTTAAAATTATTGAAATTAGATCATCAAGTGTGCAGTTATTAAGCCCAAGAAACTAATTCATCTCCTTGATCAATAAAGCCTTGAGAACTGTCAGTTCTAAAAACTCATTAAATCTCATCATGCACCTCTCTGTTGTGTTCAATAGAAGAGCCTCAATAAGGAATGTGACATTTTCTAGTATGTTTTTGAGATGTGAATTTCCAATTTTGCATAAGTGGCACTATTTCTCCCAAGACAGTCAGCCAGGAATAGATGGTAGAGATGGCAAAAAAAAAAAAAAAAATTAAGTGGTAGCACCTTGCTAATCTTTAATCATATGCTCCAAATTGTAATCTTTCAAAAATTATACTTACATTAACGATGAGAGTAATGAAAGTTCCATAGTATTTTTAAGAACAAAAAGGAAGTATTTCCAGAATAAAAGTATTTCCTTTTAGTATATACAAATTAAAATATGAAATATAATATAGGACCAGAGTTAAAGAAGTTTAAACACTGAAGAGTTTAGTACTTCCCTCTAATCTTTAGGTGTTCTTATTTATAGTTTAATTGAACTTTGAAATTTCTCCAGACTTGAATAAAACATAATTTATCCTATGTCTCTTACTAGAATCTCAGTCTCTATTTATTCCTTTAGTAGATATTAGGGCTAAAGATGGTTTCATTTTTAAATTCTCAATCAGAATTTGGGGCATCTGATTTCATTAGCTCTCTTAGTTAAAAATTATGAATTTATCCTGTCGCCCATGGGCAAAATTGGAAGGATGAATTTACTAGTCTCTTTGCGATTACTAACAATCAGATTTTTAACATGCTTTTATTTATATGCAGAAGTAAAGAGGAATTGAGGCTCACATTATGATGCAAGATGAGCTTAATCACTGTTTGCAGTTGCAGGACTAGTCATTTTCCACTCCTAAAGCTATGATTTCATTTCTGCCCTCTCACTATTTCCTGTTGCAGGAGATCAGTTTTTTAGGCATTTGTCCTAGTACAATTGTCTGAGATGGAAGTCCCCCCTCCTTGTCTTTCTTTCCCAGAGTCAGGAAAGGGACTTACGACCTTGTTTAGAAGACAGTGCACCCAGAAGTGGTTAGATCTTTGTATTCACACTGCTTTTATCTTCATTTGTTCTTATGTGCATTGTTTTTCCTGGAAGGTTAGCCAGAGAATACTTTACCAAACACAAGAACAGTTGTGCTGTTGTTTTAGCATCTTTAGCTCAGAGTGTATGGGCAATTAAATGGATTTTATCTTTTGTTAGTTTCAAATCTAAAATATTTTACCTTCCTACTTAACAATTCTAATTTCTTGCCAAAGAAAGATAAGTGTCTCTTTAACTCTCTGAAGTAGAACTACATTCAGATAATTTACACATCTTGGGGGGGTCCTCTCCACCTGCCTCAGAGAAGAAGAAATATGTTAGATGAAGCCAGTGTCACTCTTAAATAAGCCCACTAGCCACTCCACTTTTTACGTAGTAACTCAAATCTCTCATCCCCTTTTCCTACTCCTTCCCCATTTCCCTTTCTTTTTCTTCCATTTCTTTGATATTTGCTCTCTACCCCCTGGACAGTCAACTGTATCCATCTATTCTGCTTCTGAATCTTTAGTGAGCTGTGCCCGTCTCCAGGAGACAGAGAGTAGTTTGAGGGAAAAGCTAGCCAGTTTGAGTAATTTATATTCTTATAGTGTAAGAGATGGAAGCAGAAAGAGCAAATGGCGTTACAGAGATTTGTGTTGCTAAAAGGACACCTATTCTCTATCCCATTTTAATCCCCCCCCACACACACACACATGCATGCATGGAAAGGGTAGTAAGATTCCAAGAATAAACTAAATGTTTTCCTAAGCCAAACAGACTATCCTCTGGAATCACAACACACAGCAAATGCAATTCCATTTAGACTGTGCTCCTTATTCTTGTTCATACTGTTGTTTTCTTGTGTTTTTCTTCATTTACTCCCACCCCCACCCCACCTCCCAGTCTTCCATCCGGTTGAATGTTCCTACTGCCACAGTGAGAGTATGATGGGATTTCGCTACCGATGCCAACAGTGTCACAATTACCAACTCTGTCAGGACTGCTTCTGGAGGGGGCATGCTGGTGGTTCCCATAGCAACCAGCACCAAATGAAAGAGTACACGTCATGGGTAAGGCAAGGTCCCCACACCGTGGGGTGTGTGCAAGTGTTGTGTGGAATGAAAGGGAGCATCAAGGATGCTGACAGTGTTAAGGGGCAGGCTGAACTTCCACTCCCGTTCTAACATTCCCGCCTGCTCCCCTTCTCTCTTGCTTACTGGGATTTCTTACTCATTCTGTCTGAACCCAGTGTAGCATCCTAAGACTTAAATAGAGGGAGATTCAAATCATGTTGCTTCTTGGAATATAGACAATTCGGTACTGATTTAAATAACAACTGAAGAGCAAGCATCTTCTGGAAAACAGTCTTATTTTCACAGTAAGTTAAGAGTTTTTCCAAATTTTATTTTGTTTTGTTTTTGCGGAAAATACTGGAAAATAGTTTTAGTTTCACTTTTCCTAGATCCCTGAGTTCTTTTGAGTGCATGAACAGAATACTAAGTGAAAAAAGTATGAGTGTTTGGGCTTAATGTTATTTCATTTTGTTTTTTCCTTTTCCCAGAGAGTGTAGAGGAGAAACTGTGGTTATATTAGCAAGTCAACTTTTTATGAATAGTGTTAATGACCAGCTTGGGAAAGGTCACATGTGAGTGTCCATGTGATGATGTATTCTCAGGAGCACAGCTGGGTCTATGGGAGGAATTTGGCTCACTCAGTATGTCTGCTAATGGTTTGCACTTTTATTACCTCTATCTCAGTTCAGCTCAAAGTTCTAGCAGTGTTGCTCTTGTAACATATACCACCAGCCCTGCCAGCCTATCTTAAAGTAGCTCTGTCACAAGAAAATGCATAGCTGTATGAATTTTCTATATGTAAGTGTATTTCAATTCCATCTATATAGTCTTTACTTAAAGGGTAACTTACTATTCTTTTTTTAAAAAAATCTTCTGAACATGCATCTTAAATGAGAATGTTCCTTCTAGAAATTACTATAGGGAACTGATATTCAGTGTAACTTCTTAGTTCATCATCTGTCAAATTCTGACTTCAAGTTCTTCACTAAGGCAAAGTACGTGAGAGCTTCCTGCCAGGTCATAGGCTATCCCTCGATATGGCTCAGATCACATACTGAGGATAGGTATGTGAACATGGATCATAAACTACAATTCAGCACAGAAGATAGAAGCAAAAACTTTCTATTTTGTTATGATCAACATATTACCAGTTTCCAAACTTCTATTCCAGATGCTACAGGGTTATGTTTGAAGACTAATCATTTTTTAGTTGTTTTTATGTAAATGCTGAAGCTACATAGGGAGCCTCTTTCCTAAGTACGGTGGACTCTAAAATTGTATAACAGGATGCCATGTACAAAGTTGGATCCAAATGTACAAGAGAACAAAGTGCCCAGGACTTATGGGTGAAGCTCTGTTTCTACTAGTAACTTAAGAGTCCCAAGAATCACATCTCCCAATAGAGCAGGACTTCTCAACAATACTTTAAACAATAAGGGCAAAAGACACTTTATTATATTAATAATTATGAACTCCACATGTAAAAGGAAGTGCCAAAATTATAAATGACTCCTCACAAAAAGGGAAAATTTGGTTAGGGATTTATTATATGGATACAATATTCTATCTTACAAAACTACATTACATGTTTATAATTTTGATGGTGTCACATAAAGAAAAAGATTCCATCCCTTCAAATGAAAAAGGCCACACAGTGCTCTGGGAAGAACATGAATTTTAAACTTGAGAGACACAGATTGAAGTTCCACTTTTACTTCTAACTGGATGTGTTGGGCCACGCTGGAAACATCTGGCACCTGGATTCCCGCAACACCTCGCTCAGCTCCTTCATTCCAATCCTTCTGTTCTTCAGTGGAAACAATCCTTCGAAAGTGAGGTTTCATCCTGTAACCCCTATAAAGTCTTCATCACCTCCCTTTGCCCAAGAGACAAAGACACGTTCTGCCTCCTGCTTTTCTCTCCACCATGGACTCTGTTCCTCCTCCTCTTGCCTTTCTAGTTGCTTATTCCTCCATCTGGAATTATCTTCCCAGTCCCCTGAGTTTTTGTCGGAAAGACTCCCGCTGACTCATCAATTCCATCTAATTGAGGTGGCCCATACTCAGTAACTGCTTCCATTTATCACAACATTTCCTTGCCCTAAGCAGCAGGAGTTAAGGACCTGGTGGCTGGTTGCAGCAAGCTAGTCCGAGCTTCCTGACTTTGAGCACTCAAAAAGGATTTCTTGCTCACGAATGAATGAATGAATGAATGACTAACAAATGAAGGGCTATTATGAAAAGCAAATCACCTGATAAAATGTTACAATCATGGTTAGTTGTTATCACTTCTCTCTTTCTTCTTCTTTCCAGAAATCACCTGCAAAGAAGCTAACCAATGCATTAAGCAAGTCCCTGAGCTGCGCTTCCAGCCGTGAACCTTTGCACCCCATGTTTCCGGATCAGCCTGAGAAGCCACTCAACTTGGCTCACATTGTGTGAGTATCTTCTTCCCCCACCCCTACTCCAGATTAAGGTGAAAATCATCTTATTTCACTGACACCTGTCTGAAGCCATACAGAAGCAATTTCATATCAGTTGTCAGAATCCAAGTTTTAAAATTTATTCTTAAAAAAAAAAAAAGAAACAAAGTAATAGGTTTTCCTTGTTGGCCTATACAGTTCTTCTGCTTGACTGTAAAGTAGGCAACACTAACGTAATTCTCCTTGAGGTGGAAAACATTCAAAAGCTTAATTTTAAAATATAAATGTTAGTGGGGTTTTCACAATTGGAAGTTAATGCTCAAGGGAATTACCATGGTTTTAAAAAATTTAAGCATATCATACTTTAATAGCAAATGCATTTTGAGTCCCAAATCTAAAATCCCTTTGTTTCATTTCTCTGCACAGCCAGTCACCTTAAAATTAGCCAGCAAATCTAAAAATTGTAGGGTTTTTTTTTTAAATTCTAAGCTACATAACTTTAGAAAATTCATGATCTATGCATGAGAAGGTTGAATGGGGGAACTGGTAGGAGTCCTCATAAGAACACTCTACCCCCACCCAAATAGATAAATTCTCCAAAGTATTTGGAGTTTGTGGGCAGAAAGGTTGGCCACTGGATATGCAGACACCATTCCAGCCACCTCCCAAAGCCTCAGGCCCTGGGGCCTCTCTGAGGTTTGGACGGCCACCACAGGAAGGGGCTCAGGGAAAAGAAAGTGCTTCTTCCTTGCTGTGAACTTGGGCTCAAAAGAAAAATTTTCTTTGTCTGCTTCTCTGTACAGTTAGGAATTGTGTAGTCACAGGCGTCTCTGGATAGATGGTTCCTCCTCCTTATGGGTTACCTTTTGTTCAGTGGGAACTGCCACATCACAAGGTCTGTATTTACATGTTGACATCAGCAGGCAGGATCCTGGACCTAACAGTATAAGAATTGACTGATGCAAAGTTCATACTCTGGGCAGGTCAAACATGAGCTGTAAGAGGCACTAGGGGGGATAAGACCCTTATGAAAGCAGTAACTCTTTCCTCTGAGGGGCCCAAGCAAATACATCAACTTCTTTGTGCTATATTGCATTTATGAGCTTTGTATAAATACTGCAGGGCTTTGTGCTGTGTGCTCCTGAGTGTGCTTTGAGGGATCACTGACCCCAGCAATACACACAGAACAGAGTCTCCTGTTTCTCTGGCAACACACTAGTCTGAACCAAGCATCCAGAAAACTAATATAAACCAAAATGGAAAACGTTGGCCAACTTATTTATGGAAATTATTCTCCTAAAAATATTCTAGGAGTAAATAAATCTGGGGAATTTCCGTCTTGGAGAAATCTGCTTCATAGGAGCTGTTCCTATTAAGGTCTCAACTTTTTTTCCTATAGTCAACAAGAGACATCACCAAGTTGCTAGTGAAGGAACATAACACAGAGAGCAAGTCCATGCTGTGAGTGCTGCCCAGAGCCACTTTCTACCAGCCCAGGAGGACAGAACAGCCTTCATGGGCACAAAGGCGATAGAGTATGGGTGTGAGTCACTTGGAGCTAAGAACTTTGCAGGAGAACAGAATGAGGATGCTGCTGCTCAGTTCTAGAGAGAATTAGAAAGTGAGCCACCATGAAATGAAAGTCACTTTCAGAGTGCATTTACCCACCTCACACACAATGCTTAGGGTTGGTGTGCATGTATGTGTGAGTGTGTGTGTCTCTCTGTGTTAATTGACTGAGTAAAAAATTTTTAATTTTAATTTATAGGGACAATATAATTTGATGTGTTATTTGCTGCATTAACTAAAGGAAATATCTACACAATAAGTACTTCATTTAATGTGTTTACTTATTCTTGGTGCTGGGGATTGAATCCAGGACCTCAAATATGCTAAGCACATGCTCTGCCATTGAGTTATACTCCCAACCCCTACAATGGGTTCTTAGTCGGAGTTCCAGGGAGAAATTTCAAAATTCCCTTAAAATTCTACACAAAATGTGCCTTTTTCTGATAAAACTTCCATATATTTAACCAGATTCCCAAAAGTTTTTTAATCAAAATACTGATCTACACTCACTGATAAAATACTTTTTCCAAATTCATCTTATTTTTAAAATGCAAATTATATGAGGCATTTAATTGTTAAAATAATATATAAGAAATTCTGGATGCAGAAAGTCCAGTTTATATTAGAATTTTTTTTGTATTTTTTAGCTATAGAAATCTCCCCCATATTTGTTTCATTAGTCAAATGCTATATAATGAATAGATATGCATACCTTTTCAGGGGTGAGGATATTCTAAGACTTCTAATTTTAAACTATGCTGCTCATTTAGCTATTCTAAATCAACACAAGTATATACGGGTCATTTAAATGACAAAATAAATGGCATATCTTTCATCTTTTACAAAGAATATTACCTTAATCTTCCATAATCAGCATGTATTGAGAAGTTAATGAACATTCACAATCCTTTCAACTTATTATAGATGTAATTTTGATACATTTGACAAAAATATTTGACTCTCCATTGCATGTACTTTTAGCATAAGCCATTGTACCATGTCTAGAGAGTGAAAATAAGTGAATGAACACTTGAAGAACACATCAATACTCACACCCCCACTTAATTCTCTTATTGCTCCCCAATATGGCTTAAAGCATAAAGGTCTTAAGCTGAGGGAATATTACCCTAGTACAAGGATATGTATAGTGAACTTTATTGTTTGTGTCTCTAGCAAAGAGCACCCTGACAGTATGATCCCTGACCTTTTCCAAATAGTTTATTAATCAGTTGGTCAGTTGTGGCACAGACCACATCTTTATCATGCCTTGGACACATTTTCATGTAAGTTCACAAGAGTATTCCAGCCTATATCACTTACACACATACAGAAACTTAGAGACAAAGGTAATAAGGAAGCAGTGGGCACTGACAATATTGATGAGCATACTCTGTCATGCACTGGGTGACCTGGGATTGAGACACTGAGCATTACAGCATAACTAAGAACACAAAGCAGTTTTTCTTTGTTATTATAAAAAAGTATATTCATTGTGTCAATTAGTGCAAATTCTTCAAAGATACTACTTAGAAAAAAAATCACATGATGCAGATGTTCATGCAAAGGACGAATGCATGTCCCTTGGCAACAATGAAATATATTTAATGTTCTGAAGCTCACGAATATGGAATTTAATGCTGAGCATTATACAGTCTTCTTAAATGCATACTTCTTGGCTGTGATTGTGTTAAAAAAAAAATGGCACTAGTTTTCTAATATGTATATCCAGTCTTAAGAAGTAAAAAGTTCTAGATATAAATTAGACAAAAATACATGGCTTATACTTGATCAATACATATATAAATAAATTAGAAAATATTTTCATTATTTAAGACTCTAGTTTGAACTTTTAAGTGTAAAAAATTGGAAAAAAGAAGGCTAAGATAGAGTAAAATGAGACCAAATCAATAGAACTTTTAAACAGGTTGTGATCCTGCTATCTCACACACATTTGCATATGGAAATGAATCATGTAACACAAAAAATGCCATGCCCTTACTATAGCCAAGGGATTTTATACACATGCAGTAAAGAGGTGTTGCCAACCATGAATCAGTCCCTAAATAGAAACGAGCAGGTGGTGGCATTTTGGTTTTTGGCATTTGTTCTTATCTATTGTATTGCTCGTAAATGTTGCCATGATTAACAGTCTCTGTTCTGTTCGATTTTTTTGCTGCCAAAAGTGATACTTGGTAAGTAGTTCAATAGTCTCCTGTGTACTTATAAAGATTTAGAATCATAATTATAAATGGTCATGAGACACAAAACAAGTAAGCAACATGAGGCTAGTTTAAACTTATTCTGCCTTGAGCAGAACTCTGAGTTTAAAAAAAAAAAAAAGGATGCCAATTTTATAAAAATGTCTTCTGCAAAGATCTTATCCTGAAGAGAGAGAGGAAAAAAAAAAAAAACACTTTGTACTATTCCTTATGACTTTCTCCATTTTGTGGAACTGTTTTGTCTTCATGAGAGTCAATATGTGTAACATTCCCAATGTGACCTATTTATTGGATTAAGGCAACTTGCCATTTGGCTATGGAGGAAATAGGAACTTCATTCCTTCTGAAAGCCATCATTTGGTGCCAAGGTTAGCCATTCTGTGTTCCAAGTGCAACATTTTGATAGTGAACCTTATACATGAAGCCATTTACTGAGAAATCTCAATTTCAGCTTTGCAATGACCAGGTTCAATAGAGTAAATTTACTGAGCTAGTTAAAAAGCATTCCAGATCCACTTGTTTTCTCAATTTCTGCAAATAGAACAAGATAGGAGCATTTTTTTAAAAAACAGACAAAAGAGAACCAGAAATGAGGAGTCACTTTTATTTTATTTTCAAATTTTTGCAAAGCTACAATGAAGGGGTTCCATTCTGTTTAGTGTTTTAAAATCAGATGTACCTAAATTCGTAACTACAGAGGAAATTTGAATAAAATTAGCATCCTGATTATAAAGTGTTTGGCTCAAGAAAGAATTAGTTAAATCAGCCTCATGTTGCTCACTTATAACAAGATACAACCTAGATAGGTAATGCAAAACATTAAGATCACTTTCAGAACTTAAGTTAATATATCCAGAGTAGATTAAATAGTGAATATGCTATTTTGACCTCCTCCAATAAATAATGTGTCTCATATCACCATTTAGCACCATCTACTAGGAAAAAATGTCAAAGAATTGTTGCACATAATACTGACATTTTAATACCTATGGGGTGTCATGTCCATTTCAATAAATACATTGGGATAGACAAGTCTGTTTTCCCCAGAGTCTCATTGTTATAAAATCCCAAACTAACTCTGGTTCTCTAAAAATTAAACTATTTACAAATTTGGCTTTTAACCAAGCCAACATTAATTGAGTTTATCCTCTGGGCTACTGTAAATACTGCCTCATCTTCAAGAAATTCTATACTGTCAAATTCAAATATGGAATTAGACTAAAACCAAAACTTCCTCTGACTCAGAATGATTCCCTGCCTCCCTGTCCATCTCCTGAACTCTGAATCCCATCTCACCTTATTGTTCAGTATCTTACACTGAACCTAAAATAAGACCAAAAACTGCTTGGAGATGAGATAGGGATCTTGGCTCCATAGTTTTGTTTGGACTAAAAATACTCATGATAGGGAAAGAGGGACAGAATAAAATGAAGAAAGACCATGGAAGACAGACTCGATGCACTTAATTGATGTTTAGGGCCAAGGAGAATTCTGAAAAACACTGAATCCTGTTTCCTTACACTGATCATATGAATAGAGTGAAGTAAGGGGATACCTTACACCATGCACCCCATCATAGGGATCAGTCCAAGATCAGAAACAGTGAGTCCTTGTGTTGTTTCATTGTACCTTCATTTAGAATAAAAAGAAAATAGATGGATGGATAAAGAAAATGTGATATATATATATATATATATATATATATATATATATACACACACACACACAAATATATATATATATTATTCAGCCATAAAGAAGAATGAAATGATGCCATTTGCCAGTAAATCGATAGAATGGGAGACTATCATGTTAGGTGAAATAAGCCAGTCCTCAAAAAACAAAGGCTGAAATTTCTCACTGACATGTGAATGCTAACTCACAATAAGCAGTAGGTAAAGAAGAATAGAAGTTCACTGGATTAGACAAAGGGGAATGAAGAGAAGGGAGGGGGATGGGAATACAAAAGACAGTAGAATGAATCAGACATAACATATGTGAATACACAACCAGTGTAACTCCACATCATGTATAACCACAAAAATGAGAAGTTATACTCCATGTATATATGATATGTCAAAATACATTCTACTGTCATGTATAACTAAAAAGAACAAATAAAATTTTTTTAAGTTTTATAAACAACAACAACAAAAATAAAGAGAAAATAGGGCAAAATATTGTTTGGCAGCCTGTGCCCTTTTGTATATTAGAGAGGGCCATTGTCATGGGGAACATAAAGGGGAGTTTCCAAGAGCTCAGGAATCCTCCTCTTTCCAAAAGGATATGGATTCTGATCATCAGGTTTTCCAAGTAGAAGTAAGGCAACAGCCTTCTTCCACATCCTGACCCATTCGAGAACATGATTCAGTGAAACACCAAGGCTCCAAGCCCATGAATAAACCTGCTCATGTTGTCCAGAGACCTTCCTTCCGTGTTTTACTGAGATGCTACATTCTCAAGGAAATGGAACTTTAAAACACTTGAATAATCTAACTGGAGCATGTCTGCTTTCGTATGGACCCTGAGCAGGGTCGAACATCTTCCCATCCCCTATCCTCAAAGGCTGTGGATAGTTTTTCACTTGTGACTCAGCTTTGCTTTAAATGTCCACACTCACTGTACTCTGTTTTAGGCCTCCCAGACCTGTAACCAGCATGAACGACACCCTGTTCTCCCACTCTGTTCCCTCCTCAGGAAGTCCTTTTATTACCAGGAGGTAAGTTCCAGTCCTCTTAAGTCCTGTTGTGAAATAAGCCTTGGTTCCATGGCAAGAAGAATATTCTATTGTAAGTCAAGTGCAGGAGACTATTATTGGAAACTGACTTGTACATATCCATCCCAGGTCTTCAATTTCAGTTATTTGGAAGCATTTAAAGAGGGCTGGGATGCCTTTGGGGTTCATGTCATTTCTCGAAACCTGCATTTCTAATCGCCCCCACAGTAAGAATGTGGGGTACGTTCTAATTTCACTATGGACGCCCAGGAATTCCATCTCACTGAGTGAGTCATGTTATAGCACATGGAGTGGTCTGTTGGAATTTCAAGATGTGTGGCATGTTATTATCTAGATTCTGAAATATCTCATTATTTGAGGCTCCAGATATAAAGGAATCTTCTACTGGCAAGTCCTCTTCTGGAATTCCTGAGGCTAGAGGCTGAAGACCAAACTTAGAAATGTAGTTTCCATGTACATAACTTAGTGGATGATAACAAGAACTTTTTAAAAGGGTGGATGTATGTCTCATCTTTTTTGCACAAGATTCAGGAACAGGAGAAGTGTACTCTCTAACAGTTAGCGTTGGAAACATGCAGGGCTCAAGAGGTGCTCTGAGTCATTTGATCAAATATCACAAATCAAGCACCTGAAAGTTGTTTTGTATATACATGGAGAAGGTTTACAGGAAATCAGGAACAGAGGTAAGGAAAATTGGAGTGAGTAATTTAACATAAGCTCTCAAATGCCTTTCAGCCATAAAGAAGAATGAAATGATGGCATTTGCCAGTAAATCGATAGAATGGGAGAAAAAAAAAAGCTCATATTAAAAAAAAAAAAAAACATAATCCATCCATCTTTTCCCCAAAGAGTTTTGTAAAGTTCCAGTTTCACAAATATCCTGGCATATTCTAGTAAGGATCAGAAGACAGCAAGACTCTGTTAATTTTTCCCCTGCATTCCTATGTTTGCCCATCAATGGGAACCTGAGATGAAGATGTTTCCCACCATCCCATAATTATAGCAAGCAGCATTAGGACAATGGGCAGTACATGTTATTTCCAACAAGTAGAAATGAGGAGGTCCTGGTACTGCAGAACATCCACAGCAAAATGATGATTTTAAGTCCTCACTAACTTCCTGTTGGTTTTTCCAGAACCACCAGCAAATTCAAAAGAAAACCCTAACCTGTGAAGTCTATAAGACACACAGGCCTGTTCATCTACCTAGGAAAGGACCGGTGTGATATTTAGAGTAACTGTGCTTTTATTAGGAAACTCTACATTCTGTAAATGACAAGCAGAGGTAGACCCCATCCTTACTGAAGGTCATTTTATATCATTTCAGCTCGGACGGTGCTTATGGTGGATGCGTCTAGATGGATAACATGACTTCCTCTACCCTAAAATATGCCTATAATGCTTTGAGCTGTTCTGCTTTCTCCAGGGTACATGCTACCCATTAACTTAAAACATGATCATTTCCCTTTTCTCCCATTTTCAGTCCTTTTGGCATGTTCCCTGTGAACCACAGACATGTTGTTTAAAGCGTGCAGTTCTTCCTGTCACCATGGAGACTGGACCCTGGTTTCTGTGTGAAGGGTGCTGTTCAATAAAGCTCTGTACACTGAATGTTCTTCCTCTCTGAGTGGGCCTTGCTCTGTCCATGGAGGTTTTAATGAGGTCTCATTGTTTGCATCCCTCAGGTTACCTGAGGGGATAAGTGCACCCAGCCCTGTGGCTGAAGAGCATTCGCTCATTAAGCTGTATGTAAATCAGCTTGACCACAGCACACGGTCAGTATCCCTGAATCACTAATCATAGAAGTAGTTCCCCCAGCTAGATGGCTAGTCTCTCTGTTAGAGCACTAAAATCCTTCTATCGCATGTCCTAGTGGAGATGAAGTTCTTCTGGGATTTAAAGAGCTTCCGTAGAAAATTTTCAACCTAAGCTGGACTTCTCAGCTCTTTTCTTTCTTATTCATTTCATACCTTCATACCAGTACATATGAGGTGAATATGTGAAGAGTACTGTGCTGGCTCTCATTTGGACAACTCTCTGATTTTGTGTAATCTCTAAGTCCCTAGAGGATGACTTCTAAGACACTAGAACTAAAGAGCCATTGGGGATGATCTTTAGTGCTAAGTAGGATGTTATGTGGCTGGACCTTACTGCAGTTAAAGAAAGACTTAAGGACTTAACCAGCCTTAAGACCTTTCTTTTCCACTGGGCAAGGGCCATTTCTCCCCCAAGAAGAACAGTCTGATTCCTGTAGGAGTAGCAATTTCAAAACCAACTTCTAACTATCAGTGCTTGGTTTCTGTCACTTGATAATGATGGTGATCCACTTTGCTTTCTTAAGTATGTCGATACACTGAGGTTGATGGAAACCCATCATGCCAGATGAAGGCATAAGTTAAAGGCCCTATTCCTTCTATGATTGGAACAGGACTAAAGACATATAACCTAGAAGTCTGCCCTCAACCCCACTGCACCCCCAGCTGCCCCCTTTAAAATCAAATAAAACCGAAACAGGCCAAGAACAGTACTGTTCAGTATTAGGGCAGCGTTAATAAAGTAGGGAAGCTGGCCATGCAGGTATTTTATTTAGCCTGAGTTGTTAGTCTTTTGTACTTTAACTTAGAAATCTCAGAGATCTTAGAAAGATAAAACAGAGTGAGGATGAATTAAAATCACCATTGCAAAATCCTCTCTCCACACTCCTGGCATTCCCCGCCTAGAGTCCTTTACAAGTCTACCACTTTGATCTTCAAAAGGCACTAGGGTGAATCTTTGAAGTCTTCTGACATCCCGAGTAATCCACCTCACACAGATTTACGAGTGTGTACCTCTGGTTACCACCACCATCTGTCACATCCCCTGTTCCTTTTCCAGTGATATATTTGATACACTTTTCCATTACTTAAAAGAAGGGATTCTCAAAGGCACTCTCTTTTAGTCCTTTGAAGTCCTCTTGTGTGTGTGTACCTGTCTAAATGTGTACACATGCACATGTGTGCACTCAATGCTGATTAGCAGTTAGGTAGGATGTGGGTCAAATAATATAAATTATAGACATATTCACCTCATTCATTTTCTTGATCATTATCTATGTTCTTATGCCAAGATTGTTTTCTTGTAAATTTATAGGAAAGAATAGCTGGATTGATGGCCATCGATCATGCTCACTAGGAAGAGGCCTCCAATAGCTAAACATGGCAGCCAGCATTCTTATCTAAGCTTATGAAAGATGGCATAGCCTTACTGCAAATATCATCGCAAGGACTGACCACAAAGCCAGGCTCATATGGCCCTCTCTCCCGTTCACTGCCCACAGCCTCGGGCCTCTGAGGATCTTCTTTCTTTGTTGGTGCCTCTTGTAAAATCTTAATTATCTTTCCAAAATCCTGGTTTAATTTATAAGAGAGTTAATTAGGCCTTTCCTATGATAAATAAACTTCTTTGATTATGGCCCAACTTCTTCATTGGCCATTATAAGGTACACTGGAAATTTGAATGACTAGTTTCTTTTACCTCCGATATTAGAAATATTGCTTAAAGACTTCACAGGTATTTTCATAGTTGCAATTTCTAAGGTGGAAATCACTCATAAAAGGAAGCTTTTGGGCTATTACATAGAGCACCTAGCCAGATCCTATCATCCTGTCATTATTAGGAAATGACCTGGAATTCATATAGTGTGCTGAATGCAGTCTAATATACCATTTTCTGGTTCATTGCAGTCACACTGGTTATTACTGACATTATTAGCCTCTATAATACCTATGAGGAGGGCCCTCCACCCACCCCAAGCACTTCCTAAATCCTAGTTCTTCCTGGGTGAAGTAGCATTTGTTGGTGGTTTTTGTTGGTTGACTCCTTCTTGGTCATTGGGTTAATTGGGTTGTGTTTTCATCCAAAGAAAAACTAATTCACTGTGGGGTTTTTTTTATTATTTTTTTTCCAAATGCTTTTGCTTACCCAAAGATTATTTACCTAACAACCAAGGCTTTTAATCTGAATTAAACTGTTCAAACTAACTTTCAAGCATTTGTGATTTGGTAATCAAAAGTGTCTAGAAATAAAACTGACATATTGAATGTAGATTTGCTTCTGAAAATCAAAAGTTCTCTCCATGACTATTTTTTTTCTAAGAAGCCTATCCATTTTCAGTCATAAAAATGGAGAAATAGATAAATCAACATCTGACACCACCCTGAAGATGTCTTCAGTCTTACACTGTTCTGAGGATATTGTGTGAAATTACATGAAATTTGAAATAATTACCCTCTGTAGATAATTCTTTATTTCATGTATCCCTAGAGCCACGTATGCACTAAATTTTTTTCAAACTTGAATTCACTCAGTCTTTTCACTCAATTCTAACAATTTCCTATATTTAACTGTTAGTGCATAATTAAAACCACAATCACCTCTCTTTTTTTCCTTTGTTAACCTTTTTAATCTTACTAACATGCTTCAGGTGATTTTGGTACACACTGTGCACTCAGCACACTCTTCTCTAGGTTCTGTTGGCAAAATGCAATTGTTATGACTTGATAATACTGGGGGACATCATAGTAAGCAGGATTGGTACCTGTTCAACATGAGACAACATTTATGCCTGCAGTACTTGATTGACATCTAACTCTTCTACTAAGATGCTAACCTATTTTTTATATGCTTGCTGATTTGCATATAAGAGACATTTTACATTTCAATTCTAAGCTACTAAAAGCTTAGAAAAAGAAAGTGAAACAGGATGTTTCAGGAAATTATCTCTTAAAACTGATCAATGGACTCTAATTGTGCTTAATTAGTTTGGTGACTTTATTACTAAACTGTGTAAATAGTAGTGAGAAGAAAAATTTTATTCACAAGTGAAAGTTACTTAAAGAGAGAGTCAACTTTACAAATCCTTCTTTACAACTCCAAATACCACACAGGTTTATTCAAGAATCAACAGAAATAAATATTTATTTTTAAATATTGTGGTAATAATTA